CTTCATACGCCATTCCAAATCTCCAGCAAGAGCTTCACTTTTATTTATTAAGAAAAAAGATGGATCACTATGGATATGTATCAATTATCGAGGACTCAACAAAATCACCATCAAGAACATGTACTTGCTACCTATGATATCTGAACTCCTTGATCAATTGAATCAAGTTAAGATCTATACGAAAATAGATCTACAAAGAGCATACAATCTGGTATGCATCAAAAGAAGAAATGAATAGAAGACTACGTTTAGAACAAGGTATGGACATTTCGAATATAATATCATACCTTTTGGACTTATTAATGCACTAGCAAAATTTTGACATCTAATAAATGATGTCTTTCGGGAGTTTTTAGATGATTTTGTTGTCTGTTACATAGACGACATCTTAATCTATTCTAAGAACATAGAAAAATATGAACTTCATGTTCATCATGTATTACAAAAACTAAAAGATGTTAGACTCTATGCCAAGATAGAAAAGTGTGTATTTTACACTATTCAAGTCCACTTTTTAGGATACATCATTTCAAATGATAGACTTATGATAGATCATAAGAAAATTCAAGCTATTATGGATTGGATGATCTCAAAAACGATAACAGATGTCAAATGCTTTTTGGGATTTGTCAACTACTATCAGATCTTCATCAAAGACTTCTCTCAAGTTGTAGCTCCACTTACCCGTTTGACTTGTAAAGACAAACTTCAATGGAATCAAGAAACAGAAGTAGCATTTGAAGCTTTGTAGACAACCTTTGTTTCTATACCATTCTTATATTGCATTGATTTTTTCTAAGCCATTTTTTATGGAAACAAACGCATTAGACTTTGCTTTGGATGTCGTATTGTCATAAATAGAAACAGATGATAAACTTCATCCAATAACTTTTTATTCTAGAAAATTTTCAACAATCTAGATCAACTACGAGATCCATGACAAAGAACTTCTTGTAATTGTGGATTCATTTCAAGAATGGTGCCATTATCCAAAAGATGCTTCTAGTCCAATCACCATGTATACGAATCACAAAAATCTTAAATATTTTATGTCAACACGTATTTTGAATCATTGCCAAGCTTGTTGGAGTATGTCTTTGTCAAGTTTCAAATTCAAGATCACTTATCGGTTAGAAAAACAACAAGGTTTGTCAAATACACTCTTTAGACGATCTTACCTTGTATCAAAAGAAAGAGATGCTGCTTTTGATCAATAATGGATAATTCTCTTAAAGCTAGAGCATCTTCATCTTTAGCAATAAAATCAACACTAACTGTTGATTCAACTTTCATTAAGCAAGTTCAGCCAAGTATGTCTTTTGATCCTTTTATTTGTGATATTGAGGGAAATCCTTCAAAGTCTTATAATAGTCCAAGTTTGAATTTAAGAATATTCTAATATATTTCGACGAACGCCTATATGTTCCAAAAGTTGAAGCTCGATTACGTGTTCTTTAAGCTCATCATGACTTTCTAGCAGCAAGACATTTTAGGTACAATAAAACTTTGGAACTAATATCGAGAGATTTTTGGTGGTTACAAATGTAGAAGGATGTAAAAGACTTTGTTCAATCGTGAAATATTTTTCAAGATCAAAAACTACTCGTCATCGACCTTATGGACTTCTTCAACCATTATCTATTCCAAAACAACCATGGTCTTCTGTTTCTACGGATTTCATCATGGATCTTCTAATCTCAAGTTCTTATGACTCTATGTTTGTGATAGTAGCTTAATTTACCAAAATGGCACATTTTGTACCATGTACAAAATCCATCACTGGTGAAGAAACATCTAAGCTCTTTCTTGACAATATCTATCGCTATCATGGATTACCCAAGGATATTATATCAGATAAGAGAACTCAATTTGTATCAAGATTTTGGCTGACTCTTTTCAAGATTCTAAAAGTGGATATAAAACTATCTTCGACATTCCATCCTCATATTGATGGACAAATGTAGTATATTAATCAAGTTTTGGAGCAGTATTTAAGATGTACCATCAACTACCAACAAGATGATTGGATAATTCTTTTATCATTAGTAGAATTTGCTTATAATAATACGGTACATTCTTCTACAAGACAAACACCTTTCTTTGTCAATTATGGTTATCATCCACGACTTGATACTTTTAACTTTTCAAAAGTTGATAATCTTACAGCGAAAGATTTGGCAATTCATTTGTCAGAGCTACATACAATAATAAAAGTACAGTTAAAAGAAGCTCAAGAACAACAAAAGATCAATGCAGATGTTTATCGAAAAGAACAACCACCATTCTACATGGATTATAAGGTATGGTTACTTCATCGTAATATCAAGACCACTCGTCTTTATGACAAGTCAGACTATAGTAGACTTGGACCATTTTCTATTTCTGCACAAATCAATTCAGTTGCATATTGTTTACACCTATCGGAGTGAATGAAAATCCATCTGATATTCCAAGTATCTCTTCTTGAACCATACAAGACAGTGGACATACTAAGAAAAAGACAAACTCCACCTCCTCTTATAGAAGTGGATAATAATGAAGAGTTCAAAATGGAAGAAGTTCTAGATTCAAGGCGGTGCCAAAATAAATTAGAATATCTTATCTATTAGGACGGATATGATATTAATGAATGCACATGAGAGCGAGCAAAGAATCTTGCAAATGTACCAAAGGTGGTGGAGGCTTTTCATTGATGACATCCATCAAAATCAAGATGAAAACTTTCCTTATAAAAGAAACAAGATCTAGGTAAGATAACATTCTACTTTCAATCTTTATTTGTAGCTTCTTTGTAGTTGTGACACTAAAGAGATAAAGAACCAACAACCAACGGATTCGACTGAAGAGCCTTCATTTGTTGAACTATTGGACGAGACATTACGATTGTCCCAACCTTCAAGACGACACAATCGAAATCAAGCTCCTTAAGAATAACATTTTCTTCCTCAAATAAATAGCAAGATACAATGCATTTGGTATCACGACCTTGGAGGGGACTCCCAATGTTTGGTGATTTTACTAGAAGTAGGAACAACTCGTGACGGTGTTCCAAATGTTTTATTTGAAGGAAGTTATGAAGGCCTCAACAACGATCAAATAACTGGGTGGTCTTTCCGCCTTGGTATGAGATACTATCGATAGTTGAGAGGTCCTATCAACCGTCTTTGAAGAGAACAAAGATCAGAGTATGTGGCAAATACAATTTGCCGCATCTTAGACTTCTTTGACTCGTGATCACCGCTCCTTGTGGAACTCGTCCCTAGAAGGGAAGGTAATATCATGGACATATATTTATTATAATTATTATCTAGGTGATATGAATAAGTAGAAGTAGGTAAAAGTAGATTAATTTTATAATATCTTTTAGAGAAGCATCTTAGAAGCTTCATAGATGCTGCTTTGACTTTATATGTATTTGTATTTGATTGGTAGGTTAGAAACTTGATCAACAAGTTAACCACGTGCCATACATGTTGGTAGCTTGTAGAACAAGCTAACTATGTAGCGCCCATAAAGAAAACTTGCCTTGCAAGTTAAGATACATGTTGTGCAAAGTCAACACGTTTTTGGAGGTCATATAGAATATCACCACGTAGCGCCTAGGTAGATAGTATATATAGAGGCAAGAATGAAGCCTTCTTTATTCTTATCAATTCCTTTCTTGCTTATAGTCTAGTTTCAAGGGTCTTTAGTTTTCTTGTCTTTTGGCAATAGCTATTCCAATTTCTTTCTTAATACATATTTTTAGTTATTTCTATTTAGTCATCTTTCTTTGAGAAAAGTCTCACTTGTTTATTTGTTTTTATCAAGTTCTTGTCTTTGACAAGATGTCTCTTCTAGTTTAATTATTATGACTCAATTTTATAATTGTATTTAAAAATTCTAAGATTAAGCTTTATTAAGATAATTTCAAAAATTAAAATAAATTCTTTATTAACTTACAATTAAATAATAATAATAATAATAATAATAATAATAATAATAATAGAAAATAAAAACATATCACTTCATATTAATTTTTTTTATTTTTATATGATGTAACTATATTATTTTTCTATTTATAATATTAATAGGCTTTATGTGTTTTATTATCTTTAAATTTATTAGTGTACTTATTTACTATAAAAGTAAGGTATTCCAAACTATTCATAAAACTATTTTGTTCACAAAAATGGATTGTATTTTATATGTTAAATATATTTTCCTTCAGACTACTATTGTATTGTATACTCATGCATTATTAAAATTTGAGCCATTTGAGAATTGAAATGTGTTCATTTGTAATTAAATTTTTTTATTTAAATGCTGTCGTATTTTTGTTAATTTAGTGTTACAAAAATTTGGACAATGACTAATTAATTATTTTGAATCAATGTTTAATTTTGAAAACTAAGAAGATTACACGAGGACTCAACAAAAAATTACAACATATTGATTTTGAATAATACATCCTAATTCTTAACAGTTTCTTAACCATTTAGGATAAGATTGACTTATTTAGTACCTAATCCTGAACACTTGTTATTGACTAATTAAAACACATAGGATGAAAATTTAAGGAGAAGTCGGTGAAAAATTAGAGTATCTGAATTAGACTGGGGTTTCCAAGTGTAAAATTAAGTGTATGGACCAGTGCCGTCAAAGGCTTTGGCGGATAAATGCACTTTGTGCATTAGTGACAACTTTTGCACTAATGTAAGAAAAAGGTCGATTTTGAATTGAGGATTGAATTATTGCAATGATTGAAAAGTTAAATTACTATGAAACGAATTAAAATGATTGTTTTTTAAAAAATGAAAAAAACCTTCTGAAAATCTTCACTCTATCAAGCATTCATTGTCTAATATCTTCATGGTGGAATAAAGCATCCAGCTGCAGGAAGAAAAGGAAAGACAAGGAAAAACCAAAAACGCTAATGAAACTAATAAGAACGCTGATAAATCAGGTTTACGAATAAACATGAAAATTAGATCCCGATGTACAAAATCTGCAAACTCGACTTTGACTAATTATGTTCCATTAAACTGATGGAATAGACAACGAAATTCTGGGATGATGAACTCTGGGCATAGTTCAATTAAATGCAGCAGATGGAAACAAGCTCAGTAAAACTTCGAGGATTCAAATCTAGCGTACTTTTATAAAGAATTCTTCCAATGAACTGTAATTTGTTGATTGGTCAGCAGAAGAATTTTGAGCACCACCTACATTGTGAGAACTCTAAACAGCATACCAGTGCTGCTGGAAACCTAGATAAGTTGCTGAATACAAACAATGACGATCCAATTGTAACTCCTAGGTTCAAAGCACACTGCATCATCAACTGCGTGCAAAGATCTGCTGACAGCTTGTAATTAAATACTTAATAAGCAGTAACGGGTTCCCACAGCCGAAGTAAACCATTTCGAGCTCCACTGCAAATTCGACCTCTTTCAACATCCGATGCAACGCACCTTACCTGCATTGCGAAACACAATTGAAAATGGTGATTGAATATATATCATTACTCGCAAAAACACAGATAGTGGAATATTTTCAACAAAATTTCTCAGTAGGTACATTCTTACAAATAAGAACCTTAAACGGTAATAATAACTGAACATCACAGAGTTAATCGACTTACCACTGCAGCACTACGAGGAGGAGTGCGTAGCAGTTTCCAAGGGGGCAAACGAGATCCATCATCCTGCTCAGGACGATGAAAGAGTGACATGGTGTTATCAGAAGCTCCTACTGCTAGCCACCGACTTCCTGCCTTGATGCTCAGAATACCGCCTGCATGAACACCTTCTAAGCTGCTGACACATTTTAGGGAATTCCCTGCATCCACCAAAATCATCAATATCTAACAGTGCGATGATTACAACATACAGAAGTAAGGTCACATTCATGGATAGAGCTGACACTCGTGATAAGACAATCAGAGAAGAAACACAAATTTCCTGATTGAAGGGGTTAAACATTACTATGGTGCTTTACCTTCCGCTAGTTCCCAAATGCGAACCAACCCGTCGGCAGAACCTGTGTGACAAGAACGTAATGTTGATTATCTATGCTGATTTCCAAGTTAATCCAACTAGACTGTTCAGGATATCAGCAAAGAAAATGTGGTTTGCCACAAATCTAATGATCTTATGCAGCAACAGAAACAATATACTGAGGAAAGTATAATACCCTCAACATCAAACAAGTACATTCCACAACAGTTATTAGATTTACGGCAAGGTTCATGAGCACAAAATACTAAAGAACAAATTTGTAAGGCAGTTCTCGTACATCAACAGTGCAAAATGTGGGAATGACATCTCATTCTTCAAGAGATCAAAACAATAATATCAATTCTCCTTAAAATATCTACTAGAAGCATCTTACCAGTGATAATGCCTTTATCTGCAGAACAATACTCCACATTAGTGACAGCCCCAGAATGACATGCTAAGACCGCCTCGCATGCGCCATTTGAAACAGACCATACGCGCGCAGTCCAGTCATCACTACCAGTCACAATTGAATTATCCCCCATTCTCAATGATCTGCACTTCGCAATCAAGTCCTTCAGTACATATGAACAACTGCAAAAAGAAAGAATGCTTCAATTTTAGCAACTACAATTGCTGCTGCCACACTTATTCAAAGACTATCAGCAAGGTTTCAATACCTGATCCAACTCGAGTGTCCAATTAAACTGTGCATTTTCTTCCCTGCTCGAACATCCCAGACATTTCCAACGCTGTTTTTGCCAATCGGCAATTCAGATTCAGAATGCATAGTTGTTATTTGACCTTCAAGTTTACATTTTCTGGTTCTAAGGAGGACAGAGACTTTCGAACGGAAACATCTCCCCTTTAACTGCCTACTCTTATGGAAAAGATCATTACAATATTCATATTCCCCTAGTGTTTTCATGCGAACCACAAAAAGCACATCTGCATTAATGGCTCAACAAACTCAACATACTCAAATTTTATCTTCTCAAAAGAGCGCACGTAAATCAGCACAGAAGACTCATAAGGACCTTCCGTGCATTCCTAATCTGTAGCATTCTACAGAGAATATACTAGAAACTTTCCACGATCGAAGAGCGCAGGAGACATACCCATCTACACCAGCAGCAGCCAATATTTCAGTGCTGTCATCATAATCCATACATAATATGGGACTCGGGCTTTTTCCCACGGTGGCAACGCATGAATCGCTGCGTATATCCCACATCTTAACACTGCCATCATGAGATGCCGAAAGGATGCGCTCTCCTTTCAGCATTCGCACAATATTCACCTGTGTATCCAAGACCAGACACCAGAACACATGAAAATTTGAATAAAATAGTGTCATTTGTAATAAATTTAAATCCCTTTGAATCTAAAATACACAACCACGACGCTCACAAACTGACCAAAAAATTAGCAACAAACGCATACAATACAATACATGGGAACAAGGATATATTTCTGTGCACAATGTGTTGAGTAGGGGGATCAATGATGAGCAATTTATACATTTACTAAGAGAGACTATCAAGGTAATGGAGAAGTGTAAACAATGAATATATTATCTGCACATAATAGATCACAATTTGAAACAACCTAATAGTAACTCAAGACCACCGAAGAGGACTAATTTAACAGATTGCATCATATTTAATGACAAGGTAGTATGGGGTCCTTAGCTCAAGTCTCATAAAAGGTCAAACGAGCCCAAGAACTCAAGTACTTACGGCGGAGGATATTACAGGTGAGAATTCTCACATTACCACAGGCAAATAACCAGAAGAGAGCACCAAATTACCTTCCCTTCGTGACCTTTCAACTCTTGCTGGAGCTGCTTGGAATTTTTATCCCACACCAACACACGATTATCGTCTGAGCCTGAGACCACGCGTATCTTGTCTGAGCTAATTGCGCGAATAGGCCTGTAAATGTGTAATTTCACACAGTCAACGCCAACATCACATGGTCTCTGATTTTCCTACTTGAGAACTGATTTAACGTACCCAAAGCGGGTTGGACATGATAACTTTATGGTGCAACACTCAACGGATCTTGTAGGAAAGCTTTGAAGGACGATGCAGGAGTCCGGACGAACCTAGTGTGACCAATGAAAGTGGCTCGCAACTCCGATCCTCGCAGACTTGGATCCCAGATTTTTATCTGCGGTGTTCATTTATGAGTCAAACACGATCACTTGTTGCAACTGACAGAGAATAATAAAGACGAATATTTGGAGGGTTCAAGTGCTTTTGTACAGAGTGCATCACTGTGATATCACTGCATACTTGCCACTCAGAACATGAATGCTTACATGTACCCCAAAGAACTGAGGTTCCATGCAGCCATACCGTGCAGTCGGCTGATCCACTAATGAAATAACCAGTGTCTTCATAGTCTCCCATACAGTCTCCCATTTCTTGTCTGATGCCAGCATGTAGGGCTGTTACAGCGGCTTTGTGGCCCCGCAGCAACCGCACTCCGGATGAACCTCTATTCGCACCTGCACGGGAGCCTGGCTCTGGAGCTGGTGTCTGCATAGTTCTGCTGCTGTCACTTCGCTCTGCAAAATCGTGTATAATAACCAATTTTACACACGCACAATAGAGTTCATTCAGAAAAGCCTAATTCCAGGCGGCTCAATAGGATACTACTGATTAGAGACGTCTGAAACTGCAGAATTTGATACGAGGTCAGACAAATCAAAGAATATTTCCAGACTGGCAATTTCAGAGCAGAAAAAGATACAATCTCAGATCCTATTCGGCCAACCACTTCAGAAAGCTACTATTTCGGTAGTTCTAACTGCATAGAATAAGTACGAAACAAGAACCTTACCAAGGGCGGGTTGGCTGCCCCGAGCACGACCAGTACCACCAGAGTGATTGAGTGCATTTCGGTCCCGACTGAACATACTTTGCACCCAGCTCCTGCCTATGCCAGTAGTCTCTGAGGAAGACTGGTTATTCTCATCACTAGTGCTTTGATCTGTAATTTGTTGCTGTTGTTGCGTGTGTAGCTGCATGGCTTGATCAGGTAAAAGCCCCCAATAACCCTCTCCTGCATAACGCATAAGGGCTAGCAAACCCCTCAATCCGATCTGCACAACATGCCTACCAAATGTTATGGAGTTACACACTAAACTGAACTAAAGAAGACACAGAAGTAGAAAGACTGAAGATTAGTGAATCTGTGTTACATAGACCAGAAGCTGCTGCATAGAGCTACACAAAATTTGATGTGCAACTTGTACCAAAATGAACAAAAGAAAATGCTCTAAACAACAGAGGGACACAAACCAAATTATTGACACCAGGGCTGTTGTTTTTCGCAATGGTCTCCAAAATAGTCCAGGCCTTCAAGTCACGAAAACCCAAACCGGCCTTCACATTCAAACCCAAACAGGTGTTTTATTTTTAGTGTCAGGCTACAACTGGATGGACAAAATGAGGAACAAGCAACATGCTGAACATCTCTATTCAATCGGAACTTTTGACTAGATTCTTCCTATTCAAGGAATATATTCAAATGTGAAAGAACACGAACAAGTTGATATGCTGCTAATCTTGTCATATCTTTCAAAGAAAAAAGCGCGGATTTGAAGTTTAACATATTTACCATATGTTTGGCCAATACGACAAGGTGTTCAGTCACAAGAGCTGCGTAAGGACCATTCCTGATACAATTGATAAGGTTTACTGACTCAGCTTAACCTCCATATACTATATGAAAATACATTCAGAAAGTTTGGCAAGTAGTGTAAAGTTGTGTCAAGTGTAAGGAAATTGTAGCAAATAACAAAAATGACTTTCCAGAACATATGGACCGATATATATCATAATCAAACTGAAAGACCGCATACTTCAGTAAATCAATGACAACCTCAACAATGCAAAAAGGAGAGCACAACAATCTTGACTTATGACGACAACAAGAGGGAATATGAGAATGTAGATAGGTACTTGTTATCTGAATCCATGTACATAAGGTGATCAAAGTATCCCTCCCAGAATCTGCACATCAGACCAACTATACTTACATTCTTTCTGCATGAAGGGAAACAAACTGAAGTGAAATTGGATTTTAAAAGTGCAGTTTACCTTCAGTCTAAGAATGATTCACAAACCTAGTTAATCATCAATATCTAGAACAGGAGAATTCTTGTGGCCAACTTCTTCAACCAAACTTTCCGTCAATATAAGTGATGATGCAAAGAACAATATTGAAGTTCAAGATAGTAATTCTCATAAACTCACCGAAGATCATCCCATACAGGCAGAGCCCCAAGATGACGTTGGATATAGTCAGTTACGTTAGCATGATCCTTGCGGTGGATTTCTGAAGCAATTTCCAAAGAGTGACGTACTATTTTCATATCATTGCGAGAAGCGGCTCTACTTATGGTTGTTTTCATCTGCAAAGTAACAAACGATAATCGTTAAACAAGCATGTACTCTGAAGGATTGAAAACAAGAGAAGAATATTTCAAATGTATAAACTGAAGCTCACTCCAATCAGAGTTGATTTGATTTACAGAAGTTACCAGAAAACAAAAGTAACCAATGCACTGAACGAACACACTTGCCACATGGGCAGCACCTCCCGACTTGACATGAAATGCAACAATCTTCTAAGGGTCTACCAATGCATACGGAAGTCAAATAGTGCACAGAAGTCCAAGTTCACGAACCAGTTCCTTTACTGCATTAAACTGAAGCTCCGTGAGGTCACACTCCCAACCCTGTAAATAACAATGAGACAGCAATATCTCAATAGCTAATTACAAAAAAGGTAACCAGCACAAAAACTTTAGAAACAAACATTCTTCGATAAGCTAATTTAAAGACAACAGAATAAGATCAACTATTCACAGACAAGCAATCAGTCTGAAGTGACTGTCTTACGTACATCAACAGAAAGCAGATAATCAAATCAAAAAATCTCAGACCAATATACTTACAGATTGGATATGTTCTCTTAGACATTCCACAAACCCACTGCGTCCAATGTCTGCGTCTGACTCTATTAACACTGCATGACAACAAACCTTAGATATTAGCAAATCCGTACATCGAAAATAGTCACAGTAGAAAAACAAATTCACTTCTCCTCGAACACTGAGCAGGCCATCATTCATGAAACTTAAGCAGTGGCTTTATTAACCTCTCCACACTCACGTTGTCAAATAAGTGATCAAGTAACTTTAAGCCAAACTTTTTGCATTCAGAATCCTCGGTAAAATTGTATGTGCAACTCACCTGAAATAGTACCATACTCAGCAGAAGATAGAGGATCCTCGGTAGGACCGAGACTGACAAGCCGTTTCCATAAACCCTGATATCCAAACCCACACATTCAGGTCAGACGCTATGAATGTCATAAAAGTACAAGCATTGATGAATATCTCCACAATCGGAAACAGAACTAATTAAGTATACCCAAAACGAGAAAACTTTAACTGAACTTGCAAAGAAAAACAATTTACAAACATGAAACTATTTACAAACTAACCTGGAGTTTGGCTTTGATGTCATTAACCATGAGATCCTGCTCAGCCTGTGAGAAAAGACAGACAGCCGCATGATTACTATACACAACTCCAACAATGAACATGCGAAGACAACTTCTATATATGAAAAAGAGTATTGCATTAACCTCTATCACTACCATGATTCAAAGCAATGAAGGAAAGAAACTTGAGTTACAGATATCTTCTACTTTCAATAAATGTTTAGTTTCGACTTGAAACTACACGAGTCGGTCTCAAATTGCAGGTACCCCGTAAGCATAACTTCGATTAGTCCAAATCTTTAAAAACAAATCACTTTCAAATGTAACCTTGTGAATTTGAGAAGCATGGAACTCACCGCTTGTGAATTAAGATTATCTGCATTTCCTCCAGGTCCAAAAGAGCTGCAAATCACACGCAAGTATAGTAAGAACTAATCGGTAAATGTGCGGTGACGTAAGTCTTTTCAATGGACTTACCATCCAACCATCCTTGAAGTATTGACAAAAATTGTGGAATTTCTCTTAAAATCCGAAATAGATTCCAATTGTTCATCAGAAACTCTCGTAATCCGTTGTAAATAATCACACAAAAGAGGAAACTTGAAATTTGACTAGCAGTAGTCACAATGACGTGAAATGTGACATAAACAATGAAAAGCAATGAGTGCAACAACGCAGTTGTTTGATCCTGATTGAATACACCACCAAGAAGAGGCTCTGCAGGATAGAATAAGCGTTGCCAATCAATCGCACAGAAACAATTACCTTTTTCTCAATTGTTCAACAGCGGCAGCTAAAATAGCCTTCCGCTTCTCGTCCTGTGCAGGTGTCCTAAGAAATGCTGGAAAACGGTCGTAACAATGTCTTGACCTAGACACTGTTAACACAAATATTAGGTTCTAGCACAAAGGAATGGGCAATAGAACGTTATGTCCAGACATTATTTAAGTTTCAAAACACCAAATTATACTTTCTACATCCAAGTTTTAGAAGCAAAAAAACAAGACCTAAGATCAGATGTATAGGGTACCTGGAACTTGTCTATCAGCGTCAAGAACTGTGAGCACCTCAGGTGCGTTTGGTCTTGCAGGCAGAACAGAGTAACGGTCTTCACCACGACTGATAGCTGCTTGAAGTCTATCAACCAAATTGGGCCCAGAATTGGAACTACAGTCATCTGATACTATGAATGACATGAAACCTTGAGAGCTTAGCCACTCCGTCACCTACGAAAGCACGGGAAATGAGACCGCTTCATTGAAGGAAAATTAAATCCATAAGTTTTATCAAAATAAAACCTAAACATATAGATGAAGTCAACACAAAATATTTTAAATAATGAATGAATGAAATCAATTGTTATCACACTATCAGGAAAGATCAGTTCAATAAAAGAGATCTCCCTACTATGCTTAGTGAAACATACCATGGTATCGTCTGAACACCCCATTATCCGGGATCTCTTCCTGAGAAAAGCACCCGCATTGAAAGGGTTTGCTGCACGAATAACAGAATCCTGTAGACAGGCAATTACAAATAAATGCTCACTGCTAGAAGAATTTGTGGAGTTCGAAAAGAAAGTCTCGTCTAAATGTCATACGCTTCACCAAAACAACATGAAAATACTGAGGAAACCTGACTTACCACAAAATCACGGTAGCCACTCAACACTGAGGCGAAGAATTGTAAAAAGATGAGCCTGGATATCGTCCGAGTTAGTTAGTAAAGTAAAGACATAATCAAGTGAAGTATACTAATGAGCAACGCATTCAATTCAGCACAAGCATAGCCATTAACAAGAAAATCACCAGGATCTTTTGTAATGATTGAAGACATCAAGGAGCAAGCATATGCTCACAGTATACCTCAACTCAGTGTCATGATCCTTGCACCAAGGCTTTGAAAATCGACGTACGAAAGAATTCGTAGAACGCAAACGATCCATATGCGTGAGAGTAGGATGCACCAACTGTAACAAAGAGTTTCGGAGCTGCCTCCCTTCCGTCTCTGGCAAATTCGGTAAAGCATCACCACAGTCCACTTTATTGTTGTCCAAATCCACCACCATCACCTACAAATACAATCAAGCCACTTAGATCCAGGATACTGCTGTTGCAAACTACGCTAGTAGCGATATCTAATATAGAAACTTGAACCACACAACATAAACGCCAGCTGGCGTAAGCATTTACAGCATTCTCACAATACCTTAAGTATTAAGATGACATATATACTACGCCTTCTGTGTCTTGAGTGGTAGGCGTCATAGAGAACGTAGATTTCTTTTCTAGCAAATCATTTCAATCTAAAATATTCAGATTCGGAATATCTTTCACAATAAGAACGAAATAAAGCTGATGCAAGTAGTATTATACAATGAAGAAGATATTCTCGATTTTCGCAAATTATTCGCACAAATAAAATTTTGACTTTTAGTACTATAACTGTGTTAATAAACAAGATTTTAGCCATCTAGTCATCTCAATAAATAAATAGAAAGACAGTTTCAATCAAATACACTTACTCCATCTAAGCTTGCCGAATGGATATCGATACTTGAGTGCAAACCCATGAGATATGGAGTTGGCGCATCAATGTAGTCCACTCCCGCAAAAAATAAAACAGGAATGTACACATGCTGCACATAAATGCGGCAATTTCCAAGAACTAGAGTAAAGCTTCACACATGTGTGTTACAATCCTCAATACAACTAAAGACTACTCAAGTAGAGACACCCAAGTTGGACACACCTTCGAACAAGCTTTTATAATATTAATAAGACATTGATGAGATTGTTTATAGATATGCACCCAAAGTAAACTAAGAGCCAATACGCACTCAGTAAATATCCACCAAGCTACAAAAATCACCTGCCATTGGACGGGATAAATCAAAAGGCGAATGGATTCTGCAACAACCGTCAACAACGAATATCTGTAGATCGACCAAATCAGTTTGTCAAACAAGCCGACCAAGTGAAAACTGCTCCAAGTTGCTGTCTACAGGCTCGTAGTCTTGATATGGATAGTCAACAGTGATAAAGAAGGATGATTATAACTACTTGCTGCAGGTTCCCCTCACTATCACCTAGTACCATAAATTGTGTGATAAAAATGTTCGGGAAACCAAAAAAAATTGCTGTAAATCTTACTGAATCAAAATACTACACAAGGCAATTGATGCCGTACTTGTTTGCACGCAGGAGAATACGTCGTTCCAAAAGAACAGCTGTAAAGAGAAGTATCAAATTCTCGATGTCCAAGGACCGCACCAAGGGCTCAAATGACATCTAAACCACCAAATCACTGATCTCAGTATAAGCAAGAGCAAGTCAACTCCTGTTCGTAAACTTCTGTGAAGTAATTAACGTGTACAAATACCAAAATCAGAATTTAAAGGATACTCAAGTATGAAATTAAAAAAAAAAAAAAAAAAAAAAAAAAAAAAAAAAAAAAAACACAACTATACAAATTGGAATGAAGCAGTGATAGGTAACCCACATCTGCATGAGGAAGGCCATCCTTTGGTGGAGCTTCAACTGTCAGCAGGTAGCTATCCACAGAAAACAATATCTGACCCATTCCTGGACTCGGAAATGGGACAGACAAGACCACGTGCGCAATGATGTCCCATATGGGCTTGCTGCATCCAAACAAGATACAAATGTTATAGGCGTCTGGTTAGTAATATTAGTTCGGGAATGAAATCACATTGATTATATACAGTCCATCCGAATGGCTTTGACATGCACTCATCGGTAAGAACATCCTGAGAAGACCCTAACATGAGTGCTTTGACCAACCCGATCACTTCAACTATGATCGCGGATTCTATCCATAGTAATCCGTCAGAAGATTACTTCAAATGAGTACTAGGAATAGAACATACTCCTCAATTAAAGGCTAAGTCAGTTGGGATTCTTCCTTAAGATAGACGGTTTCACGTGGACAACACCGTAGTCCTCTCACGTAAAGGAATTATTCTTTAATTGACGAATACATGCTTGCCTTCTGAGAACTCACTCATTGCGCTGATTTCAGCAACACTTGATCAGTGCTAAAAGAAGACAGTGCACAAGTCTAAAACCTCCACGGGATTAACGGGATTTTCAGGGAATGTTCGTAACTTTTCCATAGCTCATGAAACGTGACTTCAGAATAATTTATTATAAAGGATGCGTTATTAGGTTGGGCAGAGCGACGAAGCTAACGTGCGTCGAGGAACTCTCTCGTACTGAGTAACAATAGTAATTGAAATTTATGAGCATGGATCGGATACCTGCAACCAGAAGCTGAAAAGCAACAGCGATATATTTCCTCGAGTGCATCCCGAAACAATTCAAAGCATGGAGAGCGAGAAAGAAAACAGATACACTTGTCAACATAATAATTCGCAGGAATATTGTAGGCTTGAGCGACATCATCATCCACGGGGTCACGAAACGCAATGCAGCTCAAATATATTTTTGAACCATCCCCCTCTGCAACAAAGAAATCAGACTCACTGTTCAAGCATTTATTTCTGCTTACAAGAGATTTTAGATGAACGATTTAAGCAGATAAGCCATCGCCCAGACCCTAGTAATTGGACGGCGACAAGCAAAGCTACCATCCACATTGCACTAAGCATGCTCAATTTCCATCACCAAAAATCCTAACCCTCAACAGATAATCGTACTCTAATACATGACATTCTAAGCAAAAATGAAGACTACCAATTTTGCACCAAGCACGAACTACAACTATCAGTGAACCTTCCACATAGATCATAGAAGTTGAACAAGGTGAGAGATACAGCAACACCAATTTTTGAGCGCGTAAAACGAAATATAAAAAAAGAACTGAGCTTGTACCAGTGAGCACGATGGGGTAGCTGCGGGGACTGCTGCTCGGATCCTGTGAGCTCGGTCCTTGTGAATAAATTCTCACTCCATCAGGCAGCACACACTGCGTGGCAGAGCGAGATCAGAAGCATCATTGCGAGTTGATACAATTCGAAAGGTGGCTATAGTAGTTTCTCCAAATACAAAACCCTAATCTCGAAAGCGGCAATCAATACTAAAGTCCAAAATGCTCGTATCGCTCATAAATTATTGCGATTCGAAGGGCGTGATTTGATTCTGCGGAGCTTGAAAACCTTCTCCACAAAGCAGTCGAAACGATGATACACAATGGCATGAACAAGGAATGTAGGAGAGCAGTAGAGCTTACCACAGGGAGTTGATCAGGGGGATCAGGGCAGGCTGCAAGTTCAGAGGGGGGAAACTGATCGAGGAGAGCAGGTTGATAGTAGGCATTGGTTCCAAAGTAGCCGCGGGTTGGAGGAATGTAGGTGGTTTGCAGATCGGGGCCCAGACCACAGACAAGAAAATACTCCAGTAACCGGCCCATGATTGATTTTTATGTTTGTGACGCGATCCTGTTAGCTGAGCTCTATTCCATCAGTGGAGCAGAACAGATCAAGAGAGCAGGAAAAAGTAGTGGGGCAATCTAAAAGCACAGCAACAATATAGCAGTCGGGGGATCCTGATGAGCAGGGTAGCATTTAGGGTTGAGAAGAGGAGCAGAGGAGACGCACTGTCAAGGGTGGCGAAGGAACAGAGAACGATGGCATCATTGTGCAATGTAAATACACTACGGCAGATAATTGCAGCACGGGAGGGAAGGGGAGAGCACAATCACACAATCACACAATCACAATCACGGGGAGAGCCAGCAACGCAGGCCTCTCAGGCAGAGAGAGAGAGAGAGAGAGAGAGAGACGGAGCACAATGGTCCGTCCTGCAGACGGAAACCGGATCCAAAGTAGACCGGATTCCAACGCTAATGAGAGAGTGCGTTTACTTCCTCGCTGAAACCGCCATGTCCCATCAATAATAGTAGTAATAATAATGCACGTTTTGATTTCCTCATTCTTTCTCCCTACTTCTTTACAGATTCTTTCTCACCATCTTGCACCATCTTGTTCTCAAATTGTAAAGAGCTTTGCTGGAAGGTAGTAAATGTTAGATTGAAAAAATAAAATAAAAATAGTGTAAGTTATATTCACAAAAATAGTTCTAAATTTTGGACTCTTCAAAATTTAATTATTATCCTGGTCTCTAAAATTCTGTTTTCAATTGACATTTGAAAGTCGGCACCTTAGGATTTTTGGGTTTTTGTTATTAGCTAGTATGTATTGGAGTTTACAAGTTGATTTAATTTAGAAAATAAAACTAAACTAAAAAAAAAAGAAAAAAAAGCTGTGTTATGATTTTTTAAAATAAATATTACTAATTTAATATCACTTCTTATTTGTAGCAGAATCATTAAATCACTGTTTCTAATTAAAATAGGTATTTATTCAATTATAACATTTTAATTCAAAGGTTTTTGTTTCTTGTTCTTACAGTAGATCTATAATCTAATGATGATTTGTACATTTTTGTATTTGTGCATCTATTATGAGGTTTTTATAGTGGAAAGACTTTTTAAAACCTAATTGTATGAAGTAATTCTCTAGCTTGAAATATTCTTCTTCTATTCCTTACACAAATACCTTACTTATATGTGTACCTACAAATTTGTATTTTGTATTACAATTAGTAAATAAAATAACTTGTTTAGTTTTTGTAAAATTCTTGATACTTTAACCTTAAAACATTAATACTTAGATTCTTAAATAAATATATATGCAACTATTTTTGAATATTTTATAGATTTTTACTTTGAAAATAAAATAAATTTACAAATAACATCACAACAATGGATCTAAATTCTCCTATCTCTCTCTCTTTCATTCTATATATATATATATATATATATAATGAAAAATAATTTGAAAATAACTATAACAAATCATTGAAGAATAATGATGAAGTGACAATTGAATATAACTTATATGCTAGCAAAGTTGATAAATTTTATATTTAGCATATCTACATTATCAAAGTTTCTAATTTATTTATTTATTTATTTAGTTATGTAAGTATGTAGAGTTAGAAATTAGATAAGAGACCTTAATTTAATACTAAAGATCAACTTAAAATCCATAACAAAGAGCTTCTTGCAATTGTAGCATCAACTAAAGAATTTTGCCAATATCTAAAAGGTTCTTCAAGTCTAGTGGCTATTTATATATATTTTATTTTTAAATTTAAAAATCAATATTGACTTTTAATTTAATTTTTTAAATCAAATATAATTAAATATGCCTTCAATTTGACTTATTCATGATATTAAGAATAATTTCTAAAAATCTCATGATAGTTTTAATTTTGAATTTAAGAATAATTTTTTCTATTTCAAGAAATACTTATATATTCTAAAAAATAAAGCACAATTGTAAGTTCTTTAAGCTCATCACAATTTTTTTGATTACATGACATTTTAAATATAATAAGACATCACAATTCATTTCAAGAGATTTTTGGTGGCATCAAATGTGTAAGATAGTTGAAGACTTTATACACTCATGTATAATTTTCTTAAGATCAAAAACTCCTTGTTATTGATGTTATAGATTTTTTCAACCACCACATGTATTAGAACAACTATGGTTTTAATTTGTTTCTATAGATATTATTATAATTCTTTTAATATCAAGATTATATGACTTTATATTTATAATAGTAGATTATTTTATTAAAATAGAAAATTTTGTACTATGAAAAAAATCTACTATTGTCACAAACATACATATTCACTCTAATATTTATTTATATGATTAAATAGAAGTAGGTAAAAATAGATTTATTTCATAATATTTTCTAGAAAAGCTTCTTAGAAGCTTCATAGATATTAATTTGATTTTATATGTGTTTGTAGTTGATTGGTAGATTAGAAACTTGGTTAATAAATTAATCACATATTGCTAACTTACAAAATAAGCTAACTATATAATACCCATATAAAACACTTGCCTTGCAAGTTAAGCTACATGACTTATAGAGTCAATACATTTTGGAGGTCTTATAGGACATTGCCACGTAGCTCTTAGTTAAGAGTATATATGGAGGTGAAAGTGAAGTTTTCTTCACTCTTGTCAATGCCTTTTTAGTCCTTAATCTTATTTCAAGATTTTTTAGTCTTCTTATCTTTGACAATAGTCATTTTAGTTTAATGCTATATCATCTTTGAATGTTTTTTTAGTCTTTTTGAGTGACACAAGAGTGTATTGATATTTTAATTTTTTGGGATTCATGTCTGTAATATTTTGACAAGAGTCTTAATTCATTATTCTTGTCTTATTTTAGAAGTGAGTATATTACTCCACTTCTATTGTTGTATTTTGAAGGTTGCGGATTATTTATCTTTAAACAAAAATTTTAATATTTTAATATTGATTTCTTTTTAAAGAGAGCAAATTATCCTTATCTATGGAAATTTTTATTTCACATTAGAGGTTGTGGATTTCTTCCTCTAATTTGATTTTTGGATTTGTTAAGTTGTTTAAAATGGAAGGATAAATTATAGATGCTGTACTTAGTAGAAGTAAAAATAGATTTTAAACTACTGTAAATCTTTATGAACTTGTGGATATTCTTAAGATAGAAATTTCATACATCACTAATGCCAACCGAGGAAATACTAATCCTATGTCCATAGAACAAGTTTAGAATCTACGTCAAGAAGTTGTACAATTGAAAAAAATAAGAAGATTGACTTTACAACCAAATCCATGAAATTTTACTTCTACAAGTACAATGGAGACAAGGATTAATATGCCTAAGAAGTTTGATGGAATAAGATCAAAATTTTAAATATTTTTTTAACAAATCAAATTCTATCTAAAGTTGTATTTCTCCCAATATCTTGATGGATTTATTCAAGTTGGATTCATAAGCATCTTTTTATTTGAAAGTACTCTCTCTTGATTTGCACCTTTGATGGAAAAAAAATCACGACTCTTTTATGTTTTGAGTTCATTCTTAAAAGTATTTATAGCCTCATTTAGAGAAAGTGATTGAAAAAAATAGTAGAGATCTTATTTTTATGACAATCATCACAATCAGTTGTCATATATGCTATTAAATTCTAAAATCTTACTTGTGATGTGGATTAGAATGATAAAGCTTTTATCAATCAATTTTGACATAGATTGATGGAAAATATTAAAGATATTTTTATTGACAATGCCAAAAGCAAAATCTTTGAAATAATTTATTGCTCAAGGTATTATATGTTACAATTGATTATTTTAGATGCATTAAGAATAAAGATTAGGCTAAAAATGAATAAATCAAGTAATGACAAAAGCTCCTAAGATTTCAAAAATTTATTCATCAAAGCCAAAATCAATACAAATTAATATGGTATATTTTAAATTTCTTATTAAGTAAGAAAAGACTTATGGTTGTTAAGTAGATTTATGCCTATATCATAGAAAATCCAAGCCTAGTACTTAATATTATCAAAAGAAGCAATACAATCACAAAATGAGAAGCATAGTTGCCAAAGAAGATGGTGTATGAGAAAATGAATCTTTTTAGATATAAAAGAGATTGTGAGATTGAAAACTTATATAATTCCTAGTAAAGGACATATTCTTTCTTTAGATCTCTCATTGTGTTTCATAATAGAAATTTATTTAGCACCAAAAAATTATAAAACTTCAGCCTTGTTGGATTTAGGAACCTCAGCCTATTTTATAGACAAAAATTTTGTCAAAAAATAAGATATATCATTATAAAAAAATCAAACTTATGCATATAGAAGTAATAGATGGTCATTTATTATCTTCTAAAGATGTTACATATAAAACTATTCTTATAGAAGTAACAATTGGTGGTTATAATACTTTAGTAATATTTAATGTAATTAGATCTTTTTTTAATCTAATTATTTTAGAATTAACATGATCAAAAAGATATAATCTTCAAATAGATTAGATTTCTTGAAATCTTAAAATTTTCCATAATTTAGCCTAAGATTTTGTTGGGCATATAGAAACCTATAAGATCCATACATCAAAATTATTATTAGTAGGTGCAAAAACTTTCATGCATGCCGCAAAAAAAGAATAAACTTTTGTTGTATACGCCACACCTATTGTTAATAGAAAATAGATTTTAAATGGAATTTCAAGCTAATATCAAGTTTATCAAGACATCTTTGAAAAGAAGAATGCAGATATTCTTTCAGAGTATTATTCTTATGATTGTTCCATTAATCTTCAAGAAAGAACTCAACTACTATTTGGACCAATCTATAGCTTATCAAAGAGTAAGTTAGCTACACTTAAAGAATTCATTGATGAAAATTTGGCTAAAAATTTTATATGCTATTATAAATTTTCAATCAAGGCTTCTATCTTATTTGTGAAGAAAAAAGACAAATCTTTGCAGATATGTATGGACTATTAATGACTCAATAAAGTCACCATAAAAAATAAATACCTTTTATTTTTGATTTTAAGACTTTTAATCAATTAAATCAAATAAGGAACTATACAAAAAGATATCTATGACGAGCATACAATTTGATATGCATTGAAGAAGGAGATGAATAAAAAAACTACATTTTGAATTAAGTATGGATATTTCAAATATAATGTCATGCCTTTTGGACTCACTAATATATAAGCTACTTTTCAACATCTAATAAATGATGTCTTTTTTGTATTTCTTCATAATTTTATTATCTATTATTTAAATAATATTTTAATCTACTCTAAGGATGTAGAAGTGTATGAAGTTCATATTCATTGTGTATTACAAAAATTAAAAGATACATGATTATATACCAAGATTAAAAAGTATATATTTTACACTATTCACATTGATTTTTTAAGATACATCATTTTCAACAATGGTCTTATAATAG